TTGCTTTATTATGTTAGATATATGTTGAATTTATTACAAAATCTGCATTATTTAAATTCAAATATAATCCACCTCCTAATAAAGTAGCTGTATTATTCAAAATCTTGACATTAGAAATAAATGTCTTAACATTTATTGAAGATAGAGCCAATCCTTAGCTACCATTATTATTAATAAAAAGAGAATTCATAATTTGTAATTTTCCTTGAAGTTTTATATCTGATAAAGTTGTGATACATCCAAATTATTAGACAATATTTCCTATACAATAAAGTTCTTCAATCTTTATTTAAAGAAAATCAACTAATTAAAAGAAGATTAAACCATTCTTACAAGTAATGCAATCATTATATTACAGAAATATCGATTTCAAATGTACTTTTGTTTGATTGTTTTAAAATTTCATGTATAAAATTGATCCATCTTGAGTGGAATAGGATTAAATCTATTCGAAATTATTTGTCTTTTTCTCTAATTATTGTTCGTTTATTGAAAGCTATACAGCTTTTAATGTTTCACATTTTGTATACTCAATTAGAAAATTTGGATAAATGTATGGACTTAAATTCTAATCCTTAATATTTAACTTTTTTATTTCATATATTTTCAGGATTTATATTAATATTATAGATTTATATTATGAAACCTGTTCGATTTGAAGCAAATTCAAATTGTAAAATAAAGTAATTTCTTTAAAAAAAATATTTACCAGTTAAATTGTTTTGCAATTTATTAAATTTAAGATACTAGATAAGGTAAATCCTTCAAATATAAAATTACGAATAATTAATTGACATCCTTAAATATTAAAAATAGCATTATCTTGAGTTACTTTTGATATTACTAATTGTTCTAAGATATTGAGCTATTTATTGAACTGTATTGAAGCTTATATGTTTTATTATATAAGAATGTTTTCAATTATAACTTTATTTTAATCAGCATTTTCAAAAGGAAATGATAATGATAAAAATAAATTTATTAAAGAAAAACAATTTGAAACTTGAATATTTTTTATGATAATAATATTTGATACTTCTGATGGATTAAAAGATATGATTGCTGGTGCTAAATTATTTAAAATGTCTGTAAAGTTAAAATTTTATAGTAATAGATTTAAATAACTATTTTGTGAATTAATACTGATTGATCCTTCTTATTCCTAATTTAAAAGCAAATTATTTTAAGAATAAGCAATACTGCAATTATTTAAAACAACAATACCTTTTCCTTTAGTGTTTATATCTAAAACAGAGCTACCTCTGGAAATAAGGTATTAAAAGTATCCATTTTCTAAGGTAAACTTATCAGCAATTACCTGCATTGCTCCTCCTTTATTTTTTATTGAGAGAACTTATTCAATCATATAATTAACTTCAATCTGATTGAGGTTAGTTAATAATGAAATCTAAATATCATAATATCTATTCCATAACTCCAATCTTAGATAATTATGATTGGAAACTTTGATTTATTCTACTTTAACTTCACTAGAACTAATAGTAATAAAGGAATTAGTAGAATTTGCTAGAGAATTCTCAAAACAATATATATTTTTAAGAAGAATAGAGCTATAAATTGAATTTATGAAAAGTAAACTAGAAGAAGTAAATGTTGGATCTAAAATATATTAATAATAAGAATTCTCCTAATAAAATATATTCTCTAAATAAATTTACTAAACTTTATCTGAAATGATCGAAATGATAGAAAAAATATTTCCTTAACTTAT